GTCTCGGTAGCTAGATGGCTGGGGTCGGGGATAGGGTTGGCCGAAGTGCCGTTCTTAGCCTATGATGGCTTCAGCATCTATGTGAGGGACACCGGGCCCGTTTCCCGGTTTTTATAATGAAGTAGCTTTTTCTTAAAAAAAAAAAAAAGAGAGAAAAAAGACGAAATCGTGGAAATAACTCCGCGGGATATTCCAAGTTCCAAGAAAAAAATCACTCCCTACTCTCGGAAATTTCAGATTTCGTGATTACTATTTTTGCACAAAACAAGTGGTTTCAATTTTTGAAAAGTCTCGTAATGACACTAGGCGGAGTTGAGTCAGGGACGAAACAATCAACCAGGGCTGGATGGGAACCGGCCGGTTGATTCACCCCGGTCCACCCGGATCCAGATCAATGGAAGTGGGGCAACCGGAAAACTGGTTTAAGCAAAAAAACCTTTTTTTTTTTTTTTTTTTTTTTGAAGGTGGGATCGGACTGCGCTCATTGAGATCTGTTCAATTCCGCTAAGAAACTTTGAAGGGGCGATTTTTTTTGGGGGGGATGGGGGGGGGAGGGGGGACTCATGGGGTGATGGTTCCCTTTCAAGTTCCTACCTTTCACAAGAGTAGTAGGAGGAGGAGGAGGAGAAAAGAGTAGGAGGAGAAAAGAGCAAAAGAAGAAGAAGAAGAAGAAGAGAAGTAGGAGGGGAGGAGGAAGAGGAGAAAAGAGTAGGAGGAGAAAAGAGCAAGACGACGACGACGAAGAAGAAGAAGAAGAAGAGGAGTAGGAGGAGGAAGAGAAAACAGGAGTAGGAGGAGAAAAGAGCAAGAAGAAGAAGAAGAAGAAGAAGAGGAAGAGAAGTAGGAGGAGGAAGAGGAGAAAAGAGTAGGAGGAGAAAAGAGCAAGAAGAAGAAGAAGAAGAAGAGGAGAAGTAGGAGGAAGAGGAGAAAAGAGGAGGTGGAGAAAAGAGCAAGAAGAAGAAGAGTAGAAAACAGGAGGAGGAGGAGGGGGGTCGGTTCTTCAACGCGCAGCGATGGCTGAGGGGGGCCTGTTCTTCGAACAAGAAATAATAAGAAGAAGAAGAAATAAGAAGAAATAAGAAGAAGAGAAGAAGAAGAAGAAGAAGAACGTACGTAAAAAAAAACTACCTACAATGAACGTACTCACCGACGACGATGGAGCAGGGGGGAAGGTCCTTCGGCGCGAGGCGATGGCTGCGGAGGGGGTGCGGAGCTTCGACGCGCAGCGATGGCTGCAGGGGGGCAGCTGCTCCAACGCGCGGCGTGGGAGTTGTGCTGCATGGGGCGTCGACGCGAACAGCACGACGTCGCAAGCCGACGTCGATCCCCACCAAGAGCACGCCTACGGGGAGTGGGGACCAAAGGGTTGGCGGCGATTTCAAACGCTACGGATTGCAGCCGCAATCGGCCGTGCTTGATCTTCGAAATTCAAAAAAACGGGGCCCGTCAGACCCTGCAAATTCAAGTGAACGCGCCGGCCGATCCTTGTCGTCGATCATCGAAGATCGACGGCGGGGATCGGTCGGCGCATTCACTTCAATTTGCTGGGTCCGACGGGGCCCGTTTTTTCGTTTGCAGGGCAGCGGCAGCCTGTGCTCAAGCAGGCAGGCGGAAGGGGGGGGGGGGAACCGCGAAATCAACCCCCAGCAAAATGCGCTGGGGCCAACCGGGTGCCTGCCGGGCCGGTCCACCGGCCGGTCCGACCGGCAGGGACCCGGTCGTCGGAGGGGCCCCCGGTCCATCCGGAGACCAGGCCTGCAATCAACCCTAATTAACCAATCGATCAATCAATCAATCGATCGGCCGATCGGGTTGATTGATCGATCTATAATCTAGGAGTCCAGATTCACAAGCCCCGCTCCGATACCAACTGAAGCATGCCCAATCGGGCGATGTAGGGGGGAGCCAAGGATCCGCAAAGTGATGAAGTGGACTCGTATGGGCAATGCAGCGTCAGCCAAGCATCAACAAGCAGTGCACATCCAGATACATCCGAAATAGCACAATGTGGCGCAGCCGAAGGCTCAAGATATGATCTGACCTGTCAGATACTGATGCAACACCCCATCGTACACCACACATGTGTGAGAGAGAGGAGGGACTGCATACATAGAACAAAGGTCCCTCCTTGCACATGCACATGGGGGGGGGAGATACCATGGACGAGAGATGGGGGGGAGGCGAGACGAAGATGGAGGCGAGGGAGAAGACCAAGATCGCTATAACGAAGTCCAGTAAATAATCTGCTGCAAACAAAATGTCGAATCAGATCCTGGGCATATGCCCGTGAAACCTCTGCCTGAAGTCTCTCTCTCTCTCTCTCTCTCTCTCTCTCTCTCTCTTCTGAAAGAAGAAGCAGCAAGAGGAGGAAGGAAGAAGAAGAGGTGTAGGGCGAGACAGATAGAAGAAGAAGATGATGTCGTCCTCCTCACTGACTCACCTGCAGTTAACTGCTGCCAAGTCCTGACGTCGCCGGCGTAGGCCGTGCTGCAGGCCGCTGCAGCCAAGTCCAGCTATGGCGCCCAGGTACCTACTCGAACGCTGCAGGTATGGCCTCCGCCCTGTCTCCCTACCTACTCCGCTACCTTTAATGCAGCGCAGCGCTGTGGCGTGCGGTGCTGATCCAGCAGCGTGTCGGCCAAGAAGTGAGCTACTCGAACCGTCCGTTGCCCAGCCTCAAAATGGCGCAGCCGGTGTGGGTCCCTACTGGACGTCCAGACTGTGCTGCTGATGCAGCAGGGCGCAAAAATGCGCCTGGCCTTTTTTGGCCCTGCCTCCGGTACCCAGTCTCAAGGTCGTGCCTTGGGGACTGCAAGTCCGAAACGACACCTGCACGGACCACGACGGTTCAGCAGGTAAGTAAATAAATAAATAAATATCCAAATAAATACTAAATGCTGCCTATATTTGCCGTAGGTGGCCTGGGGCCCGCCGTGGGCCTCCAGGGCGCATGTCTGATGGGCATGCGGCCTGGGGGTCCTTTCAGTAACCGTCGGGCCCGTCGAATTGGGCTCGTGTGCAGGCGCAGCATGTAACACTCTCTCTCATCCCCCAAACGTTCACTTTTTCTCACACTGGTTGATTGTGACTCGTTTCTCTTTCACTTATTGACGGTTGTTTCCTGATGGGAATGCGGCCTGGGAGTCCCTTCAGCAACCGTCGGGCYCGTCGAATTGGGCTCGTGTGCAGGCGCAGCATGTAACACTCTCTCTCATCCCCCAAACGTTCACTTTTTCTCACACTGATTGATTGTGACTCCTTTCTCTCTTTCACTTATTCACGGTTGTCTCCTTTGTGCGCCTTTGTGTGCCTTGCCATTCTCCGTCGTCCCTGGGACTAACCATTGTAAACGCACAGGTGCGGCAGGCGAAGCGAATGGTGGGAAAGAGTCAGAGGTTCCCCTGGCAAGAGTGCTTTTCAGGTCCGAAGAAGCTGATCAGAATGCCCCTCCTGTGGGTGGTACCAATCAAGGGATGGCAAGCAGTAAAGGACGAGCACACAAGGATGGTGCAGATGGGGGCAAGGTCCATGGGACTATGGGTGTGGGTACTGAGGGATGTTCCCCTGCAGGGCATGGCCGCTCACGGCACCAGACAAACCAGCAATCACGTCCAGCTTCTGCTGTGCAACGTGTATTGGTGGACTCGTCCTCCCTGCTATGGCGGGGACAACATCGTTCGGTTGGAGGACCCACAACCGCTCTGTCACGAATGAAGCAATCTGAGAGTGGCATTGTGGGGGAAGAAGATGCAGCCATCACAGCTACTAATCTCCGCAAATGCAAGAGTAACCCAGTCTTTCCATCCCGGGTATTGGTGAGTCACGATCCTGCCGTTGTACGAAAGGGTGGGACTAGCTGTGTGGGTCCGGCGAGGGCCCAGCGTCCTGGTGCCAGTGGCATTGAAGGAGCACAAAAAGGATGTGCAACATCAACTACCCCAGCAACACAGGTGGGAGGATTAGGTGGCCTGAGGAGCGGAGATGCAGCGCATCTGGTGGGCAAGAATGCTGCTAGGGTGGAGAACTTACCGGTCAGGTCATCTGTTGAGACTGCGGCGGAAAGAAGAGGGACGGGAAGCAGCAGCGGTAGAACGAGGGGGGCTTGCCGAGGTAGAATTGTCATCGGGAAAAAGGCGGGTAGTCTAACCAGGCTGAGTTCCAGGCTAGCAGGTGCAGCGGGCAGCCGTAGCCTCGATGGGAGGGGCCCAGCGGTCACAAGCAAGGATTCCTTAGCTGCTGATAACCGAATCCAGTCTGGTCCAGCTGTGGGCAAACTGGCTGTTGACGGTAGTGCCCCTGCTAGGCTCGGCAGTCATGTGGTGGCTACTGTGGCAGGGAATGCAGACAGTGGCTTGTCATCATCATCATTTTGTGCTGGTAACAGCAGTGGTGGAAAGCCTGCTACGAGGGCTGCTGCAGCTGTCGTGAGAGGTGGTGGGAGAATCGGTGAGGGGTCCAAGCATCTCATGCGGAGCTGTGGCGCGGAACCTACCCCGTCGACTCCTGTCATGGCTAAGGTCTGTTGCTCGCCCCGCTGTGCCTCTAAAGATCCCAATTACAATCAGCGGGTGCTGGTTGCTGGCCATAGGTTGCGAAAATCAAGCAGCAAGAAGCGAAGGAAGAGCTCTCGATCACGTGCAAGCAATGGGAGCAGTGGAATTGGGAAGGTTTCCCAGGCTTTGGAGGATGCGGCTGTGGAAGGTGGAGTTGCTCATGAAGGCGAAAGGTCGGCTGGTCACAATGAGAAGAGCAGCAGAGAGGCCAGCACTGTAGATGGTAGTGAGGCTTCTGCTCCTTGTGGGATGAATAAGTTGACCAATCCAGTGGCTCGGCATGGTGATGCTAGCAGACCGTGGAAGGTCAAAGGAGGAAAGAAGAAGGGGGAGACGGGTTCATCTGCTGAGCCCCTACTTGATGCAAGAGAGGCTGTCAGTCTTAATGTATGTTGTTCCCATGAGAAGCAACATCAAGAGCAAAGCAGTGCCAGCAAGTGCAATCATTTCTCTGCACCTGCGAATATCCCAGTGTTCGCAATGACCTCAGCCGCAAAACTTTCCCCTTTTTCTGGTCTGCAATACACTGGTCCCACGACAAGTGATGGTCCAGTTTTGGGTGATGGTAATGGCTGTGATATTGAGTTGGGGGATGAGTCATCTTTCGAGAAAGAGATTGAGAAGATGGAGAATGCGAATCTGGAAGAGCTTTGCATTCCTGCTGCCTCTGGTCTTTCTTCCACTTTTAGTCAGAATATCAGCGAGAGCAGTAGCGTGGGAGCCATAGCCGGTGGTTCTCCAGGCGTAGGAGTCACCAGTGGGAGCAATGGCGACCGTGCAATTCAGGGTGCGGGTCCGATTTCCCTTGGGAAGAGCTGCTTTATTTCCAGAAGTTGTGTTCTTGATGGTAATGAGGCCATGTGGATGGCTCAGACAGAATGCAAAACCACTGCACTGCCCGCGCATGACGATGGGGAGAAGTCGGGGGTGCTGCAAGGTGAAGAACGTGGTGTAGAATGTGTCGTCACACCATTGCCCAGTTCCAAGAAGGCAAATGGAATGTCTGGAAGTGGAGGAATGGTTAGAACCAGTGGTAAAGGCAGGGTAAAATCTCGATCTGCATCCCTCTGTTTGACCCGTCAAGCGGCTATCGCTGCTGCTGCTATGCTTGGGGAGGCAGAGTCATTGTTGAGTGATAAAAGGTCTTCCAAGGAGGGCAGGCCAGTGAGGCACAGCTATGGTGGGAGGACGATGGTTAAAGAAAGATGGGCGGGAGGGTCAGATGAGGACAGCCGAATAAGAGACCGTGTACTACACAGTCGTGACACCACTGTGACCGTTGGCCGTGCTTCTGCTGAGGTATCCTCTGAAGGAGTCGTGGAAGGACTTCTGCAGCACATACTGTATCAGAATGTTGTGTTATCAGGTCGAAGAACTTTGTGCATGGAGGATAATCGAGAGAGTGTTGGGGATGTGAAAGAGGTTGTACAGGATGACATTTGCAAGGGTGGGTGTGATGCCAGCGAGTGCCGTGGGATTGAATGTATACGGCTGGACTCCACACCGGCTCAGACTAAGCAGGAAGAAAGTCGGAACTCAACTGCGGGGAAGAACTTGTTTGATATTGAAGGCGTCAGCAATTCACCAGAAGCTGGGAGTAATGGGAACGACCAGGACACTCAGAACTGTTTTGGTGTGGGAACCAGTGGCACTTACTATGGTGATGAAAAGGCCGTGAAGAGAGGGAGGAGAGAGCTGTCGAGAAGCAGGAGCAAGTTGCTTCAGTATCGGAAAGGGGATAGCCCTCGTTGTTTGGCGGTAAGGAATCCCTCCAGAGAGAAGGCGAACAAGATGTCTATTGCACGAGAGATGAACAAGCTAGCCCTTGAGAGCCGAAGACTCCGTTTGAGAAAGGTGAGCACAAGTGAGGCAGCCCTAAATGTTTGCTGATTTCTTCCCAATCTGCAGGGCCCTGCATCCCGTGCTGTAGAAAATGGAGTAGGTGGGCTACTTGGCTCTCAGGGTTGTGGAAGCAGAGTGGTATCAGGCCGCCTAAGCATCAGAATTCAATAGGGCATATTGCCACAGTGCACGTCCATGGATATCACAGCACAGGCTTACTGTCTGTGCCTGAGCAGATCGATTGCGAAGTTGCGGAAAAGAGAAATGGCAGCCTTGTCTTGCCTCTCTATGTCAGTTACTGCTTTGTTGCTGCTTGGTCTTGCTATCTTTTATGGAGGCATAATAGAGCATGCTGCAGTGTTGGCACGCCGATGGTCGGCACCCCCAATCGGTCCAGGGTTCTGGTTGGCTCCCCGCAGAAAACATAAAATAAAGAAAACCAAGCATCCCCTTCACCTGAATTTTCTCAGCGGATTGGGGCTGTGCTGAGCAAGCGCAGTACAGCCCCAAAGTCAGATTTCAGAAAAAATCAGTGGATGTCTCTCTGTTGACGAGCCGGCAGACCGCCGGCCGGTCAGCCCTACCGGTAGCATGCGAAACGGTCGGTGGCCGGTTACGATGCAACTCAGGTGTCCCAATATCAAACATCAATTGATCACTTGACTGCATTGCCAGTGCGCTGTCTTTTGGTCTTATCCACCTGTTGGATTCCTTGCAGTGGTCTGTAGAACAGTCGATTCAAATGTTTTACCCAAGTCTTGTTGACACTCACTTGCCCTCTTTGGTGCCCCCTTACACCGTCAGTACTTTATCCAGCCATTTTTCTATGATGTGGCAGTGCAGTTGCTGCGTTTGGCAGGATGTACTGAGCTGCTGGTTTGACAAACAATATATCCAGGCAAACAGGTCATGCACGAGGTGCATTTTGCATGGATGATTTTGTTGTGAAGGGGCAGCCCGGTACATCTCGCCAGATGCAGTGCGAGCACTGCCGCAGAAAAATGGCTGGGAGAAGTACTGATGGTTTAAAAAAGACATGTATAGTTCCTAGTGCGCTTGTAGTGTGGGGTCCTCCCTTAGTTACAGTTCCTATTGGTAATGATTTTTTCCCCTTTGTCTGAGCTGCTAGCCCAATGTTGCTGATGCTGGCAATATTGATCTGAAATTGCTAACAAACTTTTCTGAGCTTCTTGAGATGCTCATTGTTCGACTTGCAACACGTGTTCATAAGTGGCCCTACGAAGAACGTTGGAAAACATGTGAGCCTGCCATATGTAACTTGTGATGGAGCTGCTTACAGTCTGCTGACAAGTCTGCTGCCAAATGTGATTATGATAGGATGTTGGTGATCCGGCGGGCAAGTCTGCTGACATGTTTGTTGACAAGCCTGTTAACGAACCTGCTTTCTGTGCCCAGTCTGGTGACTAAACTGCTGATGGATTCAATGGCCTTTTTGTATCATCAGGCTGGTGAACGTGCAGTGAGTGAAGCACAGAGAAAGTGGCTGATGAAACAGCGAAGGACGAAGCTGACCACATGGGTTGGAAATGGCCTGGTGAATTGGCTGATGAGGCTGCGGGCTAACTGGCTTGCAACTTCAGTCTAACTAACTGGCCAGTGACTGGTTGACTAAGGTTTGCAGCACGGAGCTGGCAAACCTGTCAACTTACTAGAAGTAGAGGCTGACGAACTAGTCAATGAGAAGATGAAAGGGTGATTAATGAGCTGGGCAATGAGTTATCTAGGAAAAACTGTCTGATGAACGGATTAATCCCGAATTGTGTAGGGTAAAAGAACAAATTAACTGGACGAGTATCATGGTTCATCATGACTGGTGTTGTGACCTGGCTGATTGAACAGTGTGCAACTCGCTAGTGATGCTGATAAGGACAGACAGATTTGCAGGCTGATCTGTGGGCTGATCTGCAGGCAAATGGGTAGATGGATGGGTGATCTAACAGTTATTGAAGTAATCAAACAATGAATTGGTGGTGAGACATCGGACAAAAGAAGAGGCTCTCTGCTCGCTATCAAATTTTCTCCCAGTGAGGGAATAAACCACCAGTACCTTCCGACCCACCTTCCTGAACCTTTTTCCGGCAAGCTTCCAAGCCTGTTTGTCTTAGGTGAAAGTGGCTGGTGAGCAGTCGAGATATAGCAGGCTACGGGTCCTTCAATGCGGGGGACTGGTACTTCTAGGGTGTTGGTTTCCCTTTTTTTTCCCCGTAGTGTTTCCTTTCTTTCTTTTTCCCCTGCACCTTATCTCTTTTTCCCATTGGGCGGCCAATGCTGCCAAAGGAGCCCTCAGCGCCGTGGGTGGCGGGCTGCCAAAATATGAGGATGCGCAGGCCCTTGCTAATCTTCTCTGTATGTTTCCAGGCCTAACAGAAGATTCATTCTTCTTGGGACTGAAGTGCAGCACATTACCAGGCAGATCGCGGAGGACGGGGGGCTACCACACACCACAGGCACAAATGACAAAAAACGCTGAATCTTTTTTTTTTTTTTGCTTTTATGCGTTTCATGGTTGCCCCAAAGCCATGCTAACCTTCTCTGTATCTTCCGCAAACTAGGTGAAGATTCATTTTCATTGTCCATTGGGACAGCAGTGCAGTTTAGCCCCAGGCAGATCGCATAGTACGAAAGGCCTTGCTCTGCCACTTACCACATGCACGAACAACAAAATTTTGAGGCTGTATCCCTCCCCAAAGCAGTGCAAAATTAATCCCTGTTGTTCACAAGGGGACAGCAAGTGCTGCCACTCACAACAAGCACAAACGACAAAATTTGTGCCGCCGTATCTTTCCATTTTTTTCATTATTTTTTTTTCATTTGGAGCATGGGACTCACTCCGCTTCTCTCGAAAGGTGCAAAAAGAGAGTGAATCTTTTCCTAGAACATGGAAATATATACTGCCATGATTTTTGTCTTCTGTGCATGCCGAGAGTAGTGGAGCGAGGCCCCATTTCTCGTGTTACGTGTGTTGGTGTGGGGTGCCCACAGTTCCAAACTTGATGCCGCCATCCGTGCCTTGCTGAAAGGTGGTTTGTTTTTCTTTTCTGTTTCCTTGTGTTCTTTTTTATTTTTTTGCCAATTTCTGTTTTCTTTTTTGTTGTGCTGGTCGTCCGTTTCTTTTTTCAAAACGGCGGACCGCCAGTGCCTATTCGAGGCTCTACCAAGCGTCCACCAGGCCTGCCGAGAGTTTCCATGAATTCAGGAGATCATTTTTTTTTGCCTGGGCGGGGTACTGGTGGTTTAACTGATGCTAACAAACTCGTTGCTGATGGACGAATGAGTTCAGTAGCAAAGGTAGAGTCGAAGAATGTATACTTGCAATGGCATTATTTTTGTTACCACCGCCAACCTTTTCAATCACAGCAGCTCTAGGGAGTGGCATGATCGTAGACAAGAGCGTGACTGCAGCTGTTTTATTCTCAACTGGACTACATGGTGATAGCCTCTGATTGTGTGTTGAAGATGACGTTTGGCCTTTTCTTTAGGTGAATCTTTTATACCGTTGGCAGTTGGCTAAGAAAAATTGCTTATGATGGTGAAAACCTGTGTCCGTGCGTTTGAAGATGATATTTGACCTTTGGTTGACTCTTTTAAACTGTTGGCTGTTAGCTGAGAAAATTGCTTCTGCTTGTCGTTACCTTCAGCGTCACAAGCATGGGAATTCTCAGAATGGATCGCTTGATACATGATTCTTGTTTCAGTTTTCTCATAGACCGAGGTAGAAGTCTGTGAAACTAACCCTAGAGCTTGTCGGTGAAAGCGGTAGATGTGTGCCTTGTTGTTCACCAACACTTCACGGAAGAGCTTACATCCTCGCTGAAAATGCTGAAACAGCTTCCATTTTCTTGAAGACCTAAGTAGAAATCTGCTCAATTGGCTTTGCCATTTGTTGGTAAAGGAGGTGGGCCTGGCCTGGTTGGGCCGTTTGTTGTTGGCCGACCTTGGAGTGCTGCTCCTCTTTCCTGCTGCAAGCTCCTGCAAGGTTTACATTTTGACCTGATTTTCTCAAGTGATTCCCAACTTAATTTGAACTCTGCAAAAGTTCAAGCCTAACCAACTTCCATCAATCGGATAATCGTTCAATACAATTGGACCCAATGCATTTCTGCACTGTATTCACTCACTGTCTAATCACGGTCAACTCATCAATCCATCAGCAGATGTGGTCAAGTGATAGGATGCTACACCAATCTGGCGAGGAGACTGTAAGAAGTTCATCGAATGCAGCTTTCACATGTGAGGTGGGCCATCTGTCTTGCAGTCCGCATGTAATGACGCTTCCAGCAGTTCTTGTAGATTCTTTTGTCTTTGGTAACCAAACAGAACGGGAAGTTGTCCTTTTACTTTCTTTTGCATAAAATTCCTGGTGTTGAACCACCTGATATTTGTTTTCCATTGTGGTTTGGAACTTCTCATGGCATTACATATTTTGTGCCCTAACCTATGTTGCAGTTTCACCCCCTGGCACAAGTTATGCCTTCGTTTACGAACTTCCTGCTGTTATCTTTTGCCATTACTGCTTTGCGCGCACAGGAACTCTCCCAACCGCTGCTCTGCCTTCGTCATGTCCTTTGGTGCATTCCAGCGCATGGGTATGGTACTGTGGTCATGGAGTGTGTGATATACGATCAAAAGTGCAACATTAAGAGCTTTGACTTGGCTGCTTTAAGCACATATTCGTATGCATTGCATCATCCTGTTTCATAATCATTTCCAAAGTTCTGGACTGACAAGTTTAGCGTGGCAGTCTATGGTTTTTGATCTGCCAACGTGCTGGAAAAGTTATGCCGTTTGCAAGTAGAGGAGGAGATGCAGCGTTGTGTTTGCCTTCGTTACTCTCTCTCATCTCTCCCTACCTCTCTCTCTTCATCCCAACCTCTTCTTCCCTCGCCCTTCTTTCTTCTCCTTCACTCTGTTCCTCCCTCTCCTGCCCCCCTCTGCTCTCTCCCCCTCTCCCTCGCTCTCTCTCTCTCTCTCGCTCTTCATCCTTCTGCTCCCTCTCTCCAGTCTTGCCGCTTGCTCTCCTTCCTCTTCCCCATCCTGCCATACTCCACTCTTCCCCCCTTTCTTTCCTATTCCCTTCTCTCCCCCTCTCTCCCCCAATGTTCATCTCTCCCTCTCTCCCTCTCCCCTCTCTCCCCTCTCCCATCCCTCTTTCCCCTCTTTCCCCTCTCTCCCCTCTCCCCTCTCTCTCCCTCTGTTCCCTCTGTCCCCTCCGTCCCCTCTGTCCCCTCCCTCTCTCCCCTCTTCCCTCTCCCCTCTCTCCGTCTCTGCTATCTTCCGCCTATCTTTCCCGTCTTTCCCCCTCTCTGCCCTCCTCTGACCCCCTTTCTTTCTCTTGGCGCCTCTCACCCTCTCTTTCCCACCTCTTTGTTGCTCTCTCGCTCCCCCTGTCACTTTGTTCCCTCCACCTCTCTGTTGCCCTCTCGCTCCCCCTGTCACTCCGTTCTATCCCTCTCCGTCTCTCCCTCTCGCCCTCTCTCCCTCTCTGCTTTCCCTCTCAGGTCTCTGATGTTTTCTTGTATGGTTCAAACCTCCTGCGAAAGAACCTCCTCCAAAATACTTTTCCAACTCCACCTTGTGAGGAACCAGTGAGCATGTCTTTGTCACGCACACTTGAATGGTCCATGTTTATCCTGATTCCTCCCGTTGCTTGTGATAAAGTCTGTTCTCTGGGAAACCGTTCTTATGGGAAAGGCATGTGGTTGATTCGTATAATGTTTCTGTGTAGCAGTTCTGGGCATTTATCGTTTTTGTTTTTCTTCTTCCAAGAAACAATTGTGTGGTGAATGCTTCCTGAGCAAGGGCATGCTATTGACAAATCCAAGATGGTCATTTCTGCCTGTTGGCTTTTCACTTAGTTCATTGCTCTTTTCCGGTTTTCCTGTATGATCCATGTTTATCTTCTTTCCTCCCATTGGTTTTCCTGTATGATCCATGTTTATCTTCTTTCCTCCCATTGGAGCTTGCAGTTAAGATTGTTCTCTGAACGTATTTGCCATGACGTGGGGGGCTGTTTGCCGAGTAGGATGGGATAGGTGGAAATCCTTATTATGGGAAAGGCATGTGGTTGATTCGTATAATGTTTCTGTGTAGCAGTTCTGGGCATTTATCGTTTTTTCTTTTTCTTCTTCCAAGAAGCAATTGTGTCGTAAATGCTTCCTGAGAAAGGGCATGCTATTGACGAATCCAACATGGTCATTTCTGCCTGTTGGCTTTTCACTTATCTCATTGTTCTTTCCGGGTTTTCCTGTATGATCCATGTTTATCCTGATTACTCCCATTGGAAGCTTGCGGTAAAGATTATTCTCTTAACATATTTGCCATGACGTGGAAATTGCCAATTGTTTATGCCCCAGGTATTCTATATGGATCCAGTACATGGTGGGTGTTTTGTTTGTTGAAAACCGCTGCTTGTTCTATCAAAGTATTTTTTGCCAGAAGCAATTGTGTGGTAAATTCTACATGCTATTGACAAATCCGACATGGTTGTTTCTGCCTGTTGGGCTTTTCACTCAGATCATTGCTGTTTTCCGTCTTTCCTGTATGATCCAAGCTGCTTGAATCATCAGTCACTCTTGGTTATGTGTTTACCCCAATGAGAAGTATGCTGTCATGTGTCACAGTGCAGTATGTTCTACGTACATGCCCAGGGTAGCAGAAGATTTACATGTGAAGCTGTTTTTTCTTTGTACAGGGTGCTGCGCAACGAAGGTCAACCTCACAATGGAAATTCAATGACAATCTTTGCTGCAGCACACAGAGTGTGTCAACTGCTCTGCCAGGCAAGGAACAGGTAGGTTTTTGCGATTGGGTTCTTTCGTGCGTACCTCGTAAAGTTTTCATGCAAATAACAGGAAGTGGTTTGGAAGATGTGTCAGGAAGCAGTTATGATGTGCTGCTCACTTTCTTGCAGTTTGGAAGTGCAGTGGTTGTGTCTGCAGAAGATTTGGTCAATGTCGATTGATGTATCGTTTGACCTTGTATAGGCTGCTCGTTTCCATGTGGTCACAGTATGCGTTGCTTGTGCCTTATTTAATTCCGTCCAATGAGCTACGATTGTGCTATGTAAATAATGACATGGAAAGAGTATTTCCCTTTGGATCATTCAAGGCTGTTCCTCTTTGCAGGGAGTGTTAAATCACCAGTACCTTGCTCAGGAAAACTTGAGAATCGAAATTGCGTCAATCATGGTGCTTTGGCTGGTGGCGCCAGCCAAAAAAGAAAAGAATGCAGTGGTTCAAAAGTAAGTTTGAAGATCCCGAGTTGTAGCGATGAAGTGGGACCAAAGATGCACAGCTCATTAGCACGTGTCTCCCCGGTATGTAAGGGGCATGGGGACGTGATGTCATCCTCACCTTCCCCTGGCTTATCAAGGGCAGTCATCAGAGTTCCATAAGGCAACTAGAAAGAAGGGTTGCGCTGTAGAACACGAGCTAGCAAAAGTGAAAGGTATTCCACGCTGCAGACCCCAAATTCGAATCTCAGGGTCAAAGTCTCAGAGGCCAAGTCGGCCAGTGTAAGAAAGGTCACAGTCTGGTACCCCAGGGTTCAAGTCCAGCAGGTACCCGATGGAGAGTCTCATCCCAGAGGCAAAAGTTGCATTACATAAGCAAAAGGCACGTCTCACATTGAAAGGTCATATCCCACAGGCAAAGGACACTTTCCCAAACAAAAGTCGTGTCCCACAGGCAAGAGTCACCAGCAACACTCTGGAGGAGCGCTGCAGTAGTAGTAGYAGCGTTAGCAGTAGTCTTCAGCGCTGGGCGCTATTAGGAGCTAGAGTAGAGTTGGAGAGAGGGAGATGGTTGGCGGAGGGCAGGGAGACTTCCCTGTGGCGCCATAGCTCTAGCTTCGTCTTCGATGTGCCTGCAACAAGGCGCCTCCTTCACAGGTTAGTACCGGACTGAGAGAGAGAGAGAGAGTTCTTCTTCCTCTTCTAAGTCCACCATCTCTCCCTTACCCTCTGACTTCCTAACTTCTCAGTACCTGCAGACTACGAGAGAGAGAGAGATTGGTGACGTTGGGACTTGACGACATTGGATCCAGACTTGAGATTGGGATTCAGACATTTGACGAGGGGTTATTTGGGACCTGTACCGAAGACTTGGTGTTGACGACATTCCCATCTTCCCTTCTTCTTCGTCTAACCCCCTCTTCTTTGTCTGTGTATGGTTGGGGACTGGCGCATTCTTCCTGTGTGAACACTAGGCCCCTTCACACCATGGAATGATGATGATGTATGTTTGGGCTGCATTGCAACATTGATTGTTCGGATCATTGGTATTTAAGCCTTCCGCTATGCTATCTTGTACTTTGTGAGAGAGGTCGGTTCTTGTTCTGGTCTGCACCTTTACGATATGCGACAAAATGCAGGGCTTTGGGGGGGATGACGCATTTCACTTGTGAAAGTTAATTCGATGATTTCCTCAATCGCGCCACGCATACAGGTACGTAATCACCATTCCTCCACCTGGCCACTTCTTCGCCCTTCAACTCAAATGTCAAACTCCAAATCTCATCTCCCCCGCCTTAATCTTGCCACCATTCACCACTAGCGGATGCAGCAAGTACCAGCTGTGATACCAATTGCATTGAACCTCACTGTTCGTCACCTTGAGCACACACACACACACATTGAGAGATCTCACGAAATCCACAACGGAGACCAGAGATGCAAAGTCCGAAATATCACAGCTTAGAAAACCCGGCAGTTCAATTTAAGGCCCCGCAACATAAGTGGATAATCAAACTGCTGCTCATCAAAGAGCTCCCTTGGCACGAAATGGCCTTGCATCAAATTCGGAACGTAGTCCCTTTTGAGGTGGACCCGTCCATAGAAGGCTACCACTGGATATTAAACCTGGCCTGGAACCCTAGAAGAAAAGGAGGGAGAGGACTTGCAGACAGCAAAGAAAAGATCCTCCGAGTGAACACTGGGCAACGCTTATAAAGCACTGGAGGGAATGTTTCCCGCTGAAAATACGAAAACCAAGAATAAGGGAAGAGGTGCTGAGGCAACCGCTGTTCGGCAACCCCCACTTGAAGGACCAGAACGGCAAACAGTGGACATTAGACACGAAAGGTAAACACTGGAGGAAGTGGATGAGCAAGGGAGTCTGGAAGATAGACCACCTGTGGATCTCGGAGGAAGGTWGATGGGTTACAGCACAAGAACTAAGRCRTAAGCTCAAGGGGSTCCACAACATTAAGGAGCAGTTAGAAAGAATCCTAGAAAGCATACCCCTAAAATGGGTGCTGCTACTAAGGAATGAAAGCAAATGGACGGCGGGTGACCGGGCAACCAAGAAGGGCAGGGGGGCACCGTCCGAAGCCTTCAGATTTATCAAAATCTTAGACTCGGAAACAGGGAAAGCAGAATTCTGTTCCTATGAACTAAAGGAACCTCTCAGCTCGTGGGCCAAAATAGGTAGATTAAAGGCACCTAGGCTAGAGGGACAACTAAACAACTACAGAAAGGTCAGGGCCTGCACACTTAAAAGGGGACAGAGGGGTAACCAAGCTATACCTTCTGATCCAAGCAAAATAAGGCTATATAGACCCGATCTGGACATAAAAGATWTGGAGGTAGACCCGGCGGAATGGGGATGGTTGGTACCCAACAAAGCAGGGAGTGCCAGAAAATTGGTACCAATCTATGAATATGAAGTTAAAACGGGATACAGACTATGCAATAAAACATCGGACCCACTACCAGTAATCTCAGAAAGGTGGAAAAAGAACTTGGAAGAAAGCTCGGACTGGTCAAATCAAATTCCGTGGGAGCAGTATATGAATATAGGCCCAGCAAAGATTAGAAGTCTCCAATGGCTTATAATTTACTGGGCCCTTCCAGTCAATCAATTGTTGGCCAAGAGGAGAAAACAAGAAGACCCTCTACAACTGAGTGCACAGTGTAAAGTGTGTAGTGAGGGCGTGGAGGAATCGTTGGTACACTGCCTGATATCCTGTCAAACAGCGTGGGACACGTGGGGGGAAATAAAGGGGAAGTGGACCAAGTTAACGGGATGGGAGTTCCCGTCCAATCCGCAGTACCTGCTGACCGGAAGGTTGGAGAACGAGGGTCTAGAGGACTCAGAAGTAGTAGCCGAGTTATGGAGGAGGGCAACTCTGTGGGAGATTTGGAAAGCAAGGTGCAGAAGCACGTTAGAAGGCCAAACCACAAGCTTGGAAGAGAAAAGGGAGGGAATTAAGTGCACAATGCAAACAGAAATAAGGGCTCGGTGGCGGAGAGACCTAAAAGAACAACAAAAGATAAGGCTCCCGGATAAAAGGGAATTAAAGAGATTAGCGTTCACCAAAACATGGCTCTTGGGGGGCATAATAGCAAAGCTAGAAGGGGACAATCTAAGATTCACAAGCTGGGACGAATCCGGGACAGCACAACCACTGTAGGTACTGCACTGATTATTATAAGAAGATTAGAAATCTGTTGTGGTTGATGGCGTGCGCTGCCTCACCAGTGAACCAATGGCTGCACACTAGGCGTAAAGCTACCAATCCGGATAGCTCGGAGATATGTACAGTCTGCTTGGCAGGAACGGTAGAGGACATAGTTTACTGCTTGGTGCACTGTGTAGAGGCGACAGATTACTAGGTGAGAGCCTCTTCCCTGTGGGACTCCCTCTTTTCTTCCCCTTTCCCTGAACAACCCATCCAACTCCTCCTCACTAACATCCCCACGATAACTTGGAGGGCGGAATCGAATTGGTTTGAACTCATCAGAAAGGTGACCCTATGGGTGATCTGGAAGGAGAGATGTAGCAGATTAATTGAAGGACTATCAAATCCAAGGGACAAGGTATGGAAAGAGTCCAAGTCGATTTTCCAAGCAGAGACATTGTGCAGATGGAGGAGAATCAAGCTGAAATGGCCCAAGGACGAAGAGCAGCGAAAGAAAGTGAGATCGAAATTGAGCAGGAATTGGCTGATTAGCGGTAAAATAGCCGAGATCCGGGAAGACCGGGTGAGCTGGAAAGACTGGCACAACTCAATCCCGGATGGGATTGCACGGCAACAGCCACCAACGGAGGAAGCAACTATGACTTGAAGGGTTGGGATCGAAGGAGGTTTCACCGGATTAGGTTGCAGGAGACCGCTTCCACAGGGTCTACCTGCCCTGTCACCGCAGCCGTT